CTTCCTCCGTAGATATCGGAGCATCTAAAGCGCTGGCTTCCTCCGGTGTTAGTGTATCCTTGTAGGTATTGCTGCGGTCATCGTGTCCTTGCGGACCTCTGCCAATTCGGTGGTAATATTGTACAAGCATTCGTAAAATGCGCAGAACTCGCCAGCTATCTCCTCGGGGAATTGTGTGAGGGTTCTCTTTGGTGCCCCGTAGCATGTGTACTTGTGCTCTAGCTTGTTGGCCCCAGATCATGTGGGCGAGTAATCTCCCTCCCTTATTGGCGTGAGAGGCTTTAGAGCGCTGGATCGCACTGTGGTGTTTGCGGGTAATGAGCTCCGCTAGCTGGCGTCGGGTTGCAAGTAAAGTACAGTATTGAACCTCCAGCTGTGTTAGTTTGTGAAGGGCTTCCAATTTCGCTATCTGATCAATGAGCTCAGTCATGCATCGTCGTGCCTCCTTTTTGTGAGATGCTATCCTTATAAAGCGTCCCAGGAGGACACTCTTGTGGGCTTCCCATAGCGTCACTCTTGACATGTCCTATGTGTTGTTCTCAGTAAAGTATTGGTTTAAGTGTTCTGTCAGCTGTGAGTGAGAATTGTAAACTGGCATCTAAGAGGATCGCTACCCCTGCCTTCCGTGCAGTAGGGTGATTACTGTGGTGATTGGTTGGATAGTTTCCATCTTTCAACCTATGTGTTTCTGTTGCTCTGAGGTGTGTTTCTTGTAGCATTGCTACAGAAACGTGTCTTCGTTTAAGTTCGCTTAAGAGATGTGAGCGCTTTTCGGGCGTGTTTAGGCCTCTGCAGTTCTATGTTATGATGTGGAAGGGTGCGGCTGCGTATGCCATAGTGTGAGCATTGATGTTTGAGCGGGACTTGTGTGTTAAAAGCCATGTGTATCGCAACTTCTGGAGCTCGCACATACCCCAGGGACGGGCAAAGAAGAGAACGAAAGGACAGAGGGGAGGGGGTTCAGAGGTGGTGAAGAGAAGGGAGAGCAAAGGGAGGGGGAGCAAGAGAGGGAAATCCGTGAAGTCTGTGGGACTTCCCAACTGGGCTGTACGGCGTTCGGGGGAGACGGGTCTGGGAGTTCACCGGTAGTCTGGTCACTCTCGGGTGGCCGTCTCGAATATTAGGTCCCTCAATATGAGGGATACCTGTGCAACTGAGTGGGATATCAGAACCGTACCGTCTCCTGGTATAGACTAGAGCAGCCATGGAAGTGTTTCCCCCACTAGGTTTAGCCTGGGGTGTTGGTCTACTATCGATTGTAGCGAGTGTCTATAATTAAGGTGATGTATATGAGTTAAGATGGTACAATGTGTGGGAGCCTCTGTGAGTCTCATGTCCCACTTAAGTCTAAGCTGATTCCTTTTGCTAACCGCATCTAGTTGCGGGCTGTGAGGACACAGTTCAAGTGGGTTAAAGCTATACTTAGGGTATTGGCCCTGATGTGGTGGGCTGGATATATCCCTGGTATTGGCAAGTCAGCGGTCTTCCCAGGGCTCTGTTTGCCCTCGTCTGGTCTACTGTTGTAGGGGGAAATGTTGATGTGGTTAACAGTGCGTGGTAAGGGATAACATTGTGAGGTTTCATGCGTCTCTTGTGATGGGTCCATCCAGTCATTTCATGTGTCTAGGTGTCGCCTATACTTTTTGTGGCTTATGTACCCGGTAGGCGTGATGCTGGTTTTAGCTATCTAGGTGTAGATGGTAAGGGGTTCCAGAGAGAGAACAGTGAGGTGAGAAGGCACAAACAAGAGAGGTGAGAAGGCACAAAACATTTTCAATACACAATGTAGCATACATGAACCCTTGTGTCTGGTCCCCCTAGCCCCCCCTCCCTTCCCGTGTCCACTTCACCTGGGTGGCAAATGTCTTGTATGTGATTTCTCAACTTATACCAATTCTGTTCAAGATATTCTCCCTCAGTGTTTGAGCCCCTCAGTGAGTTCGCCCCTCCTAGCTCTGCCTACCTTCATTGATTTTGTCCCATATAACAAAAGATTTTGATTCCAACAGCCACTAATAACAGCTCCCCTCCCCGCCCCAGTCCCTGTTTAACAACATTAAAGTCATATCTCGCCGTGTGGGTTTTTGAACTCCGCTTTGGTGGGCACCTTCAGTATCTAGGGACCTGGAACCATGGAGTGTCACTGGTGTATAGGGCCATCTTTTAATGTGCAGGCAGACCCCTGTGTCTCCCCCCTTCGCAGTGTCCAATATAGGGGACCTGGTTAAACCCCCCCGAGTCAGCAGTGATATAGTCTAGCTGCCTTCCTACCCCCATAGGCTCCAAGCCCAAATGTAAGTTACGGCTCGTCCTAATAACTCCAGCTTCGAGCCTCAGGGGTGTTGCCTAGAGGTCTCATGTGGGTGCTAGAGTTAGGGACCCCCTATGGGTATGTGCACTAGACAGGACTAATCTGTTCTCTCCGTTGAACTGGAAGTCTCTGTTCTCTCAATAGGGACTCTATCACGGTGGGTGCACGACAGTCTCGGCTGGGTTGTGGTCTCAAGGTGGGGGGGGCACCTGCTTTCACTCCTCCGGGTCAGCCGGTGCAAGTTGTCTGCGGGCTGTTGGGTGTTGTGGTGTGTCGTCTCTGCACCGTCGCTGTTGTCCAGGCGTTTGTGGCCCTGATCTTTGCTCTGTTGGTTTAAGGACCCAGTTTGAAACTTCTCTAAGTGACAGTTATGGTCGTTGTAGGTCTTTAAGTAACAGTTACGGTCATTGTAGGTATCTAGGTACAGCCAGCGTAGGGGGATCCACTCATTGTGGTGTCTTTCGAGTACAGTAAAGGGGAAGCCCCATTTATATGGAATTCCTCGCTCTCTGAGGAGTGACGTGACAGGCCGTAGGACATTGCGGGACTCCAATGTTAGGGGTGACAGATCTTGGTATAGAGCAGTGATGGCAAACCTGTGGCACGCCAGGCCCTCTCTGTTGGCACGCGGCCATAGGTCGCCGGGAGAGGGAGCCGCTGGCTGTCTCCAGAGTAGGCATCTGCCTGCCTGAAACGGCAGGCGCCTACTCTGCTTCCAGGGCGGGAGGCAGGGGGAGGGCTCTAGGAAGCAGCTCTCCTATTCTCCTTTTTTACCCCCTAAAGCACCCTACCCGCACAGCACACCTAACCCCCAACACAGCACCCCTAACACCTACCCCCACACAGCACAGCACACCTAACCCCCCACAGCACAGCACCCCTAACCCCTACCCCCACACAGCACAGCACGCCTAACCCCACACAGCACATCACCCCTACCCCGCACAGCACGCCTAACCCCACACAGCACATCACCCCTACCCCGCACAGCACATCACCCCTACCCTACACACACACACAGCACCCCCACCCTACACACACACACAGCACCCGCACCCACCACACACACAGCACCCCCACCCACCACACACACAGCACCCCCACACACATCATCCCTCAGACACACACACAGCACTCCACACACTTACACACGGCACCCCTCAATGCAGTATGTATGTGTGTATTCAGCAGTCTGTGTGTATGTATTCAGCAGACTGTGTGTACTCAGCAGTCTGTGTGTGTATATTCAGCAGTCTGTGTGTGTGTATATTCAGCAGTCTGTGAGTGTGTGTACTCAGCAGTCTGTGAGTGTGCGTGTGTATGTACTCAGCAGTCTGAGTGTGTGTACTCAGCAGTCTGAGTGTGTGTACTCAGCAGTCTGAGTGTGTGTACTCAGCAGTCTGTGTGTGTACTAAGCAGTGTATGTATTCAGCAGTGTGTGTGTGTGTGTATTTAGCAGTCTGTATGTGTATTCAGCAGTCTGTCTGTGTGTATGTATTCAGCAGTGTGTGTGTGTATGTATTCAGCAGACTGTGTGTACTCAGCAGTGGGTGTATTCAGCAGTCTGTCTGTGTGTATGTATTCAGCAGACTGTGTGTACTCAGCAGTGGGTGTATTCAGCAGTCTGTATGTGTGTGTGTGTATTCAGCAGTCTGTATGTGTGTGTGTGTGTATTCAGCAGTCTGTGTGTGTGTGTATTCAGCAGTCTGTGTGTGTGTGTATTCAGCAGTCTGTGTGTGTGTGTATTCAGCAGTCTGTGTGTGTGTGTATTCAGCAGTCTGTGTGTAGTCAGCAGTGTGTGTATGTATTCAGCAGTCTGTGTGTGTGTGTACTCAGCAGTGTATGTATTCAGCGGACTGTGTGTGTGTATTCAGCAGTGTATGTCTTCAGCAGTCTGTGTGTGTGTATGTATTCAGCAGTCTCTGTGTACTCATCAGTGTGTGTGTACTCAGCAGTGTATGTATTCAGCAGACTGTGTGTGTATTCAGCAGTCTGTCTGCATGCGTATTCAGCAATCTGTCTGTTTGTGTATTTAGCGGACGGTGTGTGTATGCATTTAGCGGACGGTATGCATTTAGCGGACGGTGTGTGTGCATTTAGCAGCCGGTGTGTGAATGTGTTCAGCAGCCGGTGTGTGAATGTGTTCAGCAGCCGGTGTGTGAATGTGTTCAGCAGTCTGTGTGTGAATGTGTTCAGCAGTCTGTGTGTGAATGTGTTCAGCAGTCTGTGTGTGAATGTGTTCAGCAGTCTGTGTGTGAATGTGTTCAGCAGTCTGTGTGTGAATGTGTTCAGCAGTCTGTGTGTGAATGTGTTCAGCAGTCTGTGTGTATGTATTGCATTTGTTGGAGATACTAATAAATATAAGTTTAATTTTATCTATTTATATCATAATTTAACATTTGTATCATTGAACTCTCTGTTGTGTTCTTCTTTTAAAACAAAAGTTGTTAATTAGTTTGGACAACTGTACAAGTAGTTTTTTTCTAAACTTAAACCTCAGTATTCAGGTTTAATTGCCAAGTTGGCACTTTGAGGGAAAAAAAGTTGGCATGTATTGCGGTTTGGGCACTCAGGCTCAAAAAGGTTCACCATCACTGGTATAGAGCTACCTCTGCGTCACGGAACCTCCACAGTGGTCTCCAGTGAGCTTTAGGCATAATTATTTCCTTTAGTTTATAGTTGTGTAAACAGCATATGATATCTCTTGGTGTGCTGTCTGCTGTGCGTGGTCTATTTGCTCTGTTTGCTCAAATTCCATGGATTCCGGCGCATCTGCCCCTTGTATTTCCTGGAAGAGGGCCTTCCGTGTGGCCTCTACATCTTCCTCCTCTGTGGGTTCTGGCAGTCTGCGGATGTGGATGTTAGATCTGCGGCCTCTGTTGTCTAAGTCTTCTGTTTGGCATCTCAGTGCAAGCAGCATGTTTCCCTGTCTGGAAATTGCTAGGATTGAGGCCTCTACCTGTGCTGCTGTAGCCTGTGTGGTAGTTTCCACTGCCTGGATTCTGCTGCCATGTGCCGTGATGTCTGCTTTGAGTGCGGTTACTTCCGTGCGGATCCCCGCGTGGATAGTGTCTGAGAGGGCACGGAGGTCTTCTTTAGTAACCATTGCGGTAGCTAGTGCTCGGATATCGGCGCTGATGTCTGCCAGTTAGGGTCCGCCGGCTTCCGAGTGGGTCGGGGAGTCGGCCATGAGGGCGCCGGCGGCATCGCGGGACATGCCCGCCGATGAATGGGTCCATGGGTCCGGCCTGGGTGCTGCTCCTCGGGGTCTGGAGAGCCGTCAGGGCGTTTTGTGCACCCCATCTTCGATCCTCGCTGTAAGTTTAGCGTGCTGTTATTGCTGTGTGGGGCGGAGCTCCTCAATTAAGCTGCCATCTTCCTCCGTGTCTAGGCCACGTCCCCATCTAAGGATATTTTGACACTTTAAAAAAATTGTTTATTCTTTATTTATAGTATGCAGTGATAAACACACAGACTTAACAGTGACATGACAACAAGATATATGAATGCAAGAGAATTGGCAGTGATAACACATGACATTTATTTATTTTTTTAGGGTAACAAGCTTAGTAAAACCTATAGTTTAACAGACATTTCACAAGTTTATGCATGGCAATGGAAGGTGTATAGGTGTAACATGCAATGTCAGGAATATTGCCCCTTTTATAAAAAAGGAGAGAAAACATCTGAAGTACATTTCTACTATGAAAAGCAGAGAAATAATGCCAAGAGCTGTTGAATAGAATTGTTGCTAGGAGTAGCCTGCTGCCTAAGAGTAGTTGCGTATAAGGAACTAGCTAGATAGAGTGCAATTAGAAATAGGGCAGTGGAACAGCTAGGTAATATTAACAACAGTAAGCATTAGTCCCATATACTCAGAGCCCAGCACTTTGAGAGCAATGCTGCTGAGAATAAACACAATTCCTAGGCTCTATGTCCCAGAGGGTCCCCCAATTCCTCCTCATTCAGCCTATGCCTTTAAAGGTTACTGCAAAAACCTGTAACCACCAGAGGGACTCATCCTTCACTGGTCTCAGTCCTGAGAGCCCCAACGCCAGGTTTATCTGCTTGTGCACGTGGAGGTCTGCTGTAGAGTGACCACGGCTGGTTTTCTGTGTTGTTCGGGTCCAGCATAGGTCATGGCTTTTGCCGAGCTGTGATTTGAAGGTGTGCTTGGGTGATACAAGCTGTGACTTGCGCGGGACAGTAGTTGTGATGGGGTGCCGGTGCCATGTTGCGCCTTCTGCAGCGCCATTTTCTGGTTTGCAGTGTGCGGCTTGGCATGCTTCCAGGCTGTGAGTGAGAGAGCAGCGCATTCGGTGAGTGCTCGACCGGGGTGTGGGCAGTTGCTATTCTCTCTTCTAGTTTGTTCCAAAAGGCCTCAAACACGGCCTCCAGCCGTTCCAGGATGTCGAGCTCTTGTGTTGTGGTGGGTGGTCTCGGGACGGTTGCCGCCATTTTGGGGCTAGTGGGCCTCGGCCGGGTTTGTTGCCACTGCGCCTTAGGGTGCTTTCCTGGGACCGGGATGACCCCGCCGGTCTATAGGGGGGACGAGGGCCCATTTTCATTATGTCAGTCATTGAAGGCGACGTCTCCCCTGCATTGACCATGCTTGTAGGCCGTGGTTTTCCCTCCTGGGGTTCCTGCAGGTTATATATCATGTTTGGTGTCGGTGTGAAGCCCTTACAATCAGCTCCTGGTTGGTGGCCCATATGCTTTGGTAGGGTTCCGTTTGTGGCTTTTAAAAATTATACTTTGCAACAAGGAGCAGGAGTAGCTCTATCCTGCATCCGCTCTGTTCGGCAGTCAGGCCCCGCCCCATTTTGACACTTTCTATGCAGCCATTTTACCACCAATCTTTGCCAAACGTCGCATAGGTAGTTTCTTTTTTTTTCACATACATTGCAATTCAGTTATAAATTCACAGATCCTGTTATGTGTTGCTGCCAAAAAACACACTAATATGTGTTCAGCAACATCTTCTGAGTACAGTGATACCATCCATGCATAGGCTTGTCGGGATGTTAGGGGGCTAAAAGGCCACATTTGGCAGGTGCGCATATCCGTTTTCCAACTTGGAATTTTGACATGTAGTCAACCTGCGCCCATGTCCTGTTTGGGACATTTTTCCTGGGTTTTTTGGGGTGGCTAAAAGACCACAATAGAGACTTATGTATGTCAGTTTTTCAAATTTATATATAGGTATGCTTGGCCTATCTTCAATTTGGTGTATTTTTGCATCCCCCAGTTAGTGTTACCATCATGAAAGTATATATATTTTTTTATCAAGTAGACATTCCAGGGTATTGTATATTGGGTGTTTTAACATCCTTCCCCCAACCATTGTGCTAAAAAAATTCCAGAGAACATGCATGGTGGTAATGTTTGAATTTTGCTTTTTGATTTTAGCCAGCAGGTTATATATTACTGCCTGAAAACACCCCAGTTTTTTTCTGCAAAGTCCCCTGAGTACACCTATGCCCCTCGTGCATTGGTTTGCCACGATTTTAAAGTAAAAGATTTTAGACTTGCCCATTTTGGCTAAATATAGTTTGCTTGCTTTGCTAGGCACATGTTGAGTGTGGTGCATTTTTCCATCCACCAAGTTGAATTTATGGTTTGAAAGTATACATTTGTATAAAGTAGACATCCAAGGTTTTGACTTCTTTCCCCCAACCATTTTGCTCAACATATTCAGAGAAAGTGTGTGGTGGTAATTTTTTAATTCTGTTTTTTTTATACACACATTGCTTTTAGATTTCTGCCAGAAAACTTTTTCCCTTTTTAACCAAATGTGCAGGTATCAAATGCACCTTTAGTAGTAATCTCTAAACTAACTGCTGCAAAAAGAATCTAACTAGAGATTTGGGAGAAGGAAACTGACTAACATTTTCCGCTTTCAAAAGAAACAAAAAGAAATTCAGGAACAAGTATTACAAAAAGGTATGTTCTGTGTGGTAGAGCTTAAAACATGTTCCAATACACAGTCCAGGTTTTGAAGGACAATCGGGACAGCGAAAGGGGTGTCTGTCCTTTTCTCTTTTTTATAACAGACCCGGCAATGTTTCTGGGGATTTGTTTTATTTGTAGTTGGCGGTATCTTAAAATTAAAATACGTAGCACCAATTCTGGATTACTCTGGCACCATTGTTGCAACTTGACCATCTCCATAAATGTTTGTGGAAATCAGTTTACCGGTAGGTTGAAATTGGAGAAAGGTGGTGTGATGGAACCGCTGGCACCCCGACCGGGTACCTTCCGCCGACGGATGCTCCTTGTGCTTTCCGAGGACTCCAAGCACTCTGCCTGACACCATAACCACTGCAGACTCCACGAACCGCCGCAGCTTGGTTGGGGTCTCGGCGTCTCCACCCACTCTGGACCCAGGACCAGGGTTCAGCTTCCAGCAGGTCGACCTCTCTCCGAATTCCAGAGAGCAGGAACAGGAACAAGCTCTTAGCAGAGATTAGTGATTATACCCTGGGGAGTATAGTGATCATAGCAATCCCCAGAGTGTAGTTTCTCCAATCCCCCAAACATGAGCCGAAACTTCATGAAGGTACAAGATGATCTCAGTCCAATGAGCGTTTATTACTCCTTATATACAAGTTTTCAAGTCAGAGGCACACCCCCTGGACCTGGTGGTAAACTGTGACAAAAGGGACACAAACCAATGGGAACACTAATTAACATAACAACACTCTCACATACACAATGAAATCCCTCCTCTCCATCCTGGAGATAATTGTCTTAAGGCACTGCAGTAAACTCAATTATCTCCAGGTACAGAAAATATCTACATTTTACACTAACAGCAAAAATACATAAAAGTACATAAAAATCCATAATTCTTATTACACAGAACCCCCACATTTAACCTATCCCCAGATAGCTCGGATCTGAGCGCCCAATCTAGGTGAACAGCGCTCAGATCCCATGAACAGAGTAGATTTTCCACGGGGTAAAGCATAGCAAGGGTTGTTGAGAAACCAAGGAGGGACAAAAGCAGTCAGTTCCAATTGGTTTGGCAGTGTGCCTGGGACAAAGCCCTGCTGGAGAACAATAGACAGGAAACGGGGGAGGGGAAGAAACACACCTTCCCATGGATTCCAATGGGAAGAAACTGTCTTTAGAAGCCAATAAGCCCCAAATAGTCTTTTTGTATGGCAATACACCCCAGGGCCATAGTCATGAGGAAGGAGGCTGGCAATCATGCTCCTCCAAAAGCCGGGGACAAAGGGCAGCTTGTCACCTAACAATCCAGGGACAAAAGGCATTTCGTCACAGGTGGTTTTTCCAGGATTCATTTTTTTAAAAAGTAAAAATAAATTGTGGGTTGCTACTTGCATCAGATAGATAGTCACCTTTTTATACCAGGCTATTGTTTTTCATAAAATAAGATATGGCTGAATTAGCTGATCAGCCAAATTTACACCCCCCATGTGCCTGTTATAAGCCCTGATGCAAACAGGTTTAGTCTGTACTCTGCCTTGGACAGTGACGTCTGACATGCTTTCACCATGAAGAGTTTTAAACAAATGGAAACTGCTATAAAAATTTACCACATAAAGGTGGTAACCTTTATTGAACAAGGGCATCAGTAGGTCCCAAAAATTTTCCCACTTGTCCCCAAAGAGTCAGGACAGCCAGGAGGGTCCAGTTGACCATCTTTCCCCTCATATACGTGAAAGGCAAACGTATAGCCACTTTCGCTCTCGCACAGTTTGCACAATTTTACGCCATGCTTTGAGGGGATGTATTGTTTGAATCCTAATCTCCCTTTGTATTTCATTAAGGATTCATCAATGTATAATTTTGTTGGGTAGTATAAACTTCTGAAAATTTGTGCTGAAGATGATCTATCAGTGGGTGTATTTTATGAAGCCTATTATATTGGAGGTGATCTCTGGGGTGACAGAGGGTATTGTCATTAAAATGTTAATATCTCAGCATTAACTCATGTCTGGTTCTAGACATGGTTTGGGAGTACACTGGAGTAGAACAGATTGGGTTGGTGCTCCAGTAAGAGCAAATTGATGGCTTCTTTATAATCCCCATGATCATTGTAAGAGCCTGACCTGGATTGGTATCAAAACATTGAGTAGC